TGTGCTGAACGTACTGGCCGACGCTCTATCGAGGCCTCAGGATCCGAGCCCCACAGAGTGGATGCTGAACCCAGTAGTGTTTCAGTGGCTGTGCGAACGTTTGGGTCGTCCGATGGTCGACCTGTTCGCAACACAGTTCAACAATCAACTCCCGTTGTTTGTATCACCAGTCCCGGACCCGAGGGCCATTGATCATGATGCTCTCGCGTTAGACTGGACGGGCTTGGACGCTTATGCTTACCCGCCAACAGCGTTGATACCACACATTCTAAGCCGGCTCCGAGGAGTTCGCTGTCGAATGTTACTGATCGCGCCCATGTGGCCGAACAGATCGTGGTACCCCGACTTGCTGACCCAGGTCACACAGTCACCATTTCCACTGCCTGTGAGACCGGATCTCTTGATCCACCCTCACACCCGTCAGCTTCATCCAAACGCAGGGCAGTTCAATCTGCACGCGTGGATGTTGTCATGAGCGTCTGAGGAGTAAAGGTTTTTCTCGTCGGGCGTCTCGGGCATACGTTAGTATGCATCGTGATTCTACCCAGAAGGTGTATAATGCACGTTGGGTTATTTTCACGAAGTGGTGTTGTAAACATCACATTCATTCGCCAGATAAGGTATCTGTGCAGGATATTGCTCGTTTCATGTCACACTTGCGAGAGACCCAGAAACTCTCCGGGGGTTCCATTGCCAACTATGTCTCGTCCGTTGCTACGGTACGGGACGTTGCTATGGGTACCAGTCTCTCCAAAGAGCCGGTGATATGGGGTTGTATCAAGGGTTTCAAACAGCACAATCTTAAGAAGGGCCGCCTTCCGGCACCGGCCTGGGATCTTTCCCTAGTGTTGCAATCACTTACGGAAGCCCTGTATGAACCCTTGCATAGTGCTTCGTTCCGGCATGTGACTTGGCATACCGGTCTCGGGGGTTACCGGTAGCAGGGTCAAACCCGCACAAGATCAGGGCGCTAGCGGCAACATTTGCCCTACACTCGAATATCTGTTCACAGAATATTACAAGGTTGTTACTGGCGTTCTGACTCGGTTTTTGCCAATCATTACCTCAGAAAGGTTTCTGATGAAGACGTGGAGGGGGTGCACCGTCTTGGGCCGCTGATCGCGGCACAAGCAGTCATCTAGGGGGTGTGTCCAGCGCAATTCCAAACTCCGGTCGTCAGTCCTTGCACGGGGGTCAATCTGGTTCATCTCCACAATGTTCCCACGCCGTGGGTACAGGAGTGGGGGTCCTGCAAACCAGCGCACTCACACCACAGGTGAGGCAGCTTTTTGTGTGTTTTGTCCTTATTTGTATTTTGACAATTATGCATTTAATTGTCTGTCGTGTATTCCAACCTTGTGATACATGCTTACGAATACTGGAATTAGGTCACCCGCCTATTACATACTTTAAGTAGGCTTGCTCGGGGATATACGGTCTGAATGAAATTAATTTCCCTCTTTTCGACTGTTTAACCTGATCTAAGATTTAGCTCACATGGATACTGTGTTCTCATCCGCTGCGGCGATGAAATACCTATCCAGTGGGGCCGTTTGGAGTCACCAACCGTTTGGCAATGACGATTGAGCCTTACGGTATGCGCTTGACAGTGCTTTGGTATTCCTATAGGGTAACGCCTAGCTAGGTGCATGCGCATCAGTGCTTCCGCCTTGGTGTTTACTTCCGCTGGTCGGAAGGAACACTAGCAGTCAGGATTCGGGTTGTAGGTGCTCCCCACCGCCTACTGTGGTAGTCAGCCTCGGTATAACAGTGGTAACGTATTACTTAATGTAATTTGTAGAATTTTCCTATTCGGAATATTCTATAAGTAATACATTACCACTGGGCTGCTGCCCGCCCGTCTGTCCCCCGAGCACTTGCTCTCGCAAGAGACAAGAGTGAAGGGTGTCACATGGCAGCTAGGTGGCTACGCACGTGCTGCATGAGGTAATTGAGATCTCTGTGGTAGATTTCGCTATAGCAGCAGTTGTGGGAGACAACAGCCTCGGTATAACAGTGGTAACGTATTACTTATAGAATATTCCGAATAGGAAAATTCTACAAAACTTTTAGCTGCACAAATAGGTGGGCTGCCGTGCAATGGCGTTATTCTGAATCTGTAAACCATTTTCTTGCCATATGATTAGAAATGTTGATATTTTGTGATCATGATGATCTGCATTTTGTTATTTTGGGATTCAGATAATGTGTGACAACTGTCCTCATATGTTTGCATGACTAACTATGAGTTGTTAATTTTTCAGGATTTAATAGTGTGAAACATGCACAATATTTTCAAAGATACATTAGATGATATCAAAATAGAATTGATTGTAGCATTGAATTTGTTATAGGTTTTATGTTGGAAAGAAAATAATCAATAGTTTATAGATTCTTGTTTAAAGTGATAATTAAGTTCTGCAATGATAAGACATTGAATTAATTTGCATTCTTAAAAGCGTTCTTTGTGCAAATTTATACATTGTGGTTTGTACAGCAACAACAACTTCCACCACTTATCATTCATTTCCCATTTGTTTTGCATTTCTACTTTCCTTTTTTAATGTTTACATTTGATACACACGCTCAGTGTGCTTATATAAATCTAGGTAACGGAAATAGTCCAGTTTTCCATTGTCTCTGGTGCCATTGTGCCAGGATAGTCTGGATCACCACGACCCTTAGACAGCACATCCCCCATCTTACGTCCGGGTCACCACAACACCAGGACAGCACATCCCCCATCTTATGTCCAGTCACCACAACCCCAGGACAGCACATCCCCCCATTTAACGTCCGGGGAACCATGACTCCAGGTCAGCACATCCCCCATCTTACGTCCAGGGAACCATGACGCCAGGACAGCACATCCCCCATCTTACGTCCGGGAAACCATGACCCCAGGACAGCACATCCCCCATCTTACGTCCGGGGAACCATGACTCCAGGTCAGCACATCCCCCATCTTACGTCCGGGGAACCATGACGCCAGGACAGCACATCCCCCATCTTACGTCCGGGGAACCATGACTCCAGGACAGCACACACCCCAGGACCCCAGGACAGCACATCCCCCATCTTATGTCCAGTCACCACAACCCAAGGACAGCACATCCTCCATCTTACGTCCGGGGAACCATGACCCCAGGACAGCACACACCCCATCTTACGTCCGGGGAACCATGACCCCAGGACAGCACATCCCCCATCTTACGTCCGGGAAACCATGACCCCAGGACAGCACATCCCCCATCTTACGTCCGGGGAACCATGACCCCAGGACAGCACATCCCCCATCTTACGTCCGGGGAACCATGACCCCAGGACAGCACATCCCCCATCTCCTAGTCCGGGGAACCATGATTCCAGGACAGCACACACCCCAGGACCCCAGGACAGCACATCCCCATCTTATGTCCAGTCACCACAACCCCAGGACAGCACATCCCCCATCTTACACCCGGGTCACCATGACCCCAGGACAGCAAATCCCCCATCTTATGTCCGGGGAACCATGACTCCAGGACAGCACATCCCCCATCTTATGTCCAGTCACCACAACCCCAGGACAGCACATCCCCCATCTTACACCCGGGTCACCATGACCCCAGGACAGCACATCCCCCATCTTACATCCGGGTTACCACGACCCCAGGACAGCACATCACCCATCTTACACCCGGGTCACCAGGAACCCAGGACAGCACATCCCCCATCTTACGTCCGGGGAACCATGATTCCAGGACAGCACAAACCCCAGGACCCCAGGACAGCACATCCCCATCTTATGTCCAGTCACCACAACCCCAGGACAGCACATCCCCCATCTTACACCCGGGTCACCATGACCCCAGGACAGCAAATCCCCCATCTTATGTCCGGGGAACCATGACTCCAGGACAGCACATCCCCCATCTTATGTCCAGTCACCACAACCCCAGGACAGCACATCCCCCATCTTATGTCTGGGTCACTATGACCCAAGGACAGCACATCACCCATCTTACGTCCGGGTCACCATGACCCCAGGACAGCACATCCCCCATCTTACGTCTGGGTCACCATGACCACAGGACAGCACATCCCCCATCTTACGCCTGGGTCACAGTGACCCCAGGACAGCACATCACCCATCTTACGTCTGGGTCACCACGACCACAGGACAGCACTTCCCCCCTCCCATTTTACATCTGGGTCACCACAACCCCAGGAGAGCACATCACCCATCTTACGTCTGGATCACCATGACCCTAGGACAGTACATTTACCCCCTCCCCACCTCACGTCCAGGTCAACACAGCCCAAGGACTTCTTTCATACTGTTGTGGTATGTTTTATATGCCTGGTTTATGTTGATGTTGGGGGCGGTCGTGTAGCCTAGGGGTTAAAGTGTTTGCTCGTCAAGCTGAAGACCCGGGTTTGATTCCCTATATGGGCACACTGTGTGAAGCCCATTTCTAGTGTCCCCCACTATTGCTGGAATATTGCTCACATCGGCGTAAAAACCACGCTCACTCACTCACTCACTCACTTACTTACTCACTCACTATGTTGTTGTTGCTGCACAAATTGTGCTTATGTGTTTATGTGCTGTTAGATGCCAATTTGTGAAACAAAGTCTTTTTCTATATTTTCCTTTACCTCAAAGGTCGATATTTGCAAGAATGCTTTGTACTTGTTAAAGTATAACAACAATAGGTGATCTAATGGATCATGAATAACTGAATATGGAAGTGTGTAAGACAGCTTTACTATCACTGCTTCATTTGGGATGTTTTGACATATCTTTCAGCCATTCCATTCAAGAATCTGTGAATGAAACTCTATGTGTATGTAATAACACATCTTCAGATTATGCATCCTTTGTGTTTCATGCCTCTTTTGTCATAAGTACATTTCAGAGTACATCTAGTATCCTACGGTTGTTTACTATCTTGTGTTTTCTCAATGTTTTTTATTTGTGTGTTTAAACTAATGCCTTTTACCCTGTATATGTACAGAGGAGCATGACTTGGATCGAGTGTTTCGTCTACCAGCCACCACTTACATAGGAGGCAATGAGGCAGCACTCCCTCTTCGAGAAATTATCAGAAGACTAGAGGTCAGAATTTGTCTTGGCTAACACTATAATTCTGAAATACAGTCCCCAGGATAATACACATCAAACTTGTTGCTAATACTTCCCTCCCCTTGCCACAGCCCAAATGAGCTTATGTCATTGCCTGATTGGGCCCATGAAGATCCGGAATAGAATAGGTCTTCAGCAACCCATGCTTGCCGTAACAGGCGACTAGTGGGATCGGGTGGTCAGGCTCGCTGACTTGGTTGATGCAAGACATCGATCCCAAATGTGTGGATCGATGCTCATGATATTAATCACTGGATTGCCTGGTCCAGACTCGATTATTTACAGACTGCCGTCATGTTGCTTGAATATTGCTGAGTGCAGTGTTAAACGACAAACCGACCAACCAACCAACCATTGCCTGATTGTCCAACTTGGTCAGCATCGGTGTCTTTTTTCACACAATTAGCGCAAAATTTAAATTCATCAGCCACCTGATATGCACTAACACTGTTTATGGCACATTTATGACTTTATCACCAAGAATGTATTTGAAATCATTAGCAAAAGTATTTGAAATCCCATGGCTATATGATTTGGCAACAGCACAGAATTTAATGAGTTGTTCAAAACAATTATATAGAATAAGCCTACCAGTGGTTTGCACATGTCTTTCTTTGAAATCTGATTTGCAATGCCAACAAACATCGTGACCTTTCTGATAGTTACTGTAGCCTTAATATTTCAAGTGGCAAAGTCAGGAAAACGTCTGAGGCAAAGAAAACATGTAGAATCACTGACATCTTTGACATCAGTGCCAGTGATTTTGGTATGGAATCAACCAAGGCAAGAGAGAAAGCTAGATTTGTGCAATGGCTTGGAAAAAATGATAGAATATGTTGCCTGTCTCTTGTAGAAATTTCTGATCGTCTACATTGAAACTAGTTCATCATTGGAATGCACTGAAAAATCAGTTACCACGGAAAAACTTTGCTGTAGTTGCGAACTTTGCAATTTGTCAGAAAACAGCAAGCAATATTTCTGCCATGTTCTGTATGTATTGGTTATGTCAGGATGGCTTGGCCAATATTGAAACAAAGTGTGTCCTACTTGATGAAAGTACGGATATTAATTCTTTGTATAGTATTGACCTACTGGTTCTTCAAGAGAGGCCCACTTTTCATGAGGTGATGGGTTGTTTTGTTCACTAAATGCAAATCCTAAATGCAACACAGACATGTTGCCAAGAACAATTGGTCCCTGTAGCTAAAACATAGCTTGTATGTTCCAACCATGAATGCTAATGGTTATTCTTTCGGTGTCATACATGAGTTACATCATCTCATCCCAGAATTACTGCCAGCATGAACCTGTGACCCATGTCATCAAGCATTCAGGGTTTGTCTAAAAAAATCGTCAAGGAAGCAGATTTTACTACTCTGCCGTTTCCATCATTCATGGAAAATTTTATCAAACAGGCTGATGAATCTATGAGGAACGAACAATTGGAGGATCTCAAAGTACCTTCCCTGCCAGCGAGTAAGTCCATTTGCAAGACTCAACTGCCCTTTTCCACCATGCCATGCCATTGATGACTATTTTGAACTAGTTAGAAACCATTCACCCAGAATGCGTATCAATATGCTCAAGGTCAAGGACCTAAGCATATGATGAACACTAGTACTTATATTAATTAGTTTGCTGAAGGTATTTGGCTTGTGCTACCTCTATTCAACAAAGAATATGCAGGCCTATCTGTCCACACAATGATCGACATAACTTAGATCAGGCGGAATTCATCCACAATACCTTGGACTGTCTTGGAAGAGGTTACGCGAGCTACCAACCAAATATTCCAGAATTCTATCATTAGTCTGATGGCAAGTACTCACAAACATCCAGCTGAACAGAGTGATCAGTATTTCTTTTTGTGGCAAAGATAGATCAACACGCCCAAACCCACACATATCAGAGATGAGTGTACCTTCCTACAACACGGAAGAGGAGGCAGAGGGTGACGATGTACATGACGCGATACCAGAACTACATGCTTAACCAATTCCTATTGACCTGGCTTTGTCTAAAGATAAGCTAACTTCAGCATAATGCCAACTCTGGGAAGTTAATCAATTGAAGTTGTTTAATATACATGTTATATATACCACCCCATTGGGCACCAATATCTTCTACAAGGAGGCAGACCCCTGAAGATTCTGGGTAGAAAAGGTCTTCAGCTTACCGTAAAAGGCGACTATGCTTGTCGTAAGAGGTGACTAACAGGATCGAATGGTCAGACTCACTGACTTGGTTGATGCATGTCATCGTTCCCAATTGCATAGATCGATGCATATGATATCAATCACTGGATTGTCTGGTCAAGACTCGACTATTTACAGACCGCTGTGATACAGCTGGAATATTGCTGAGTGCAGCGTTAAACAACAAACAAACAACAAGGAGCCAAGTTAGCGGGTGCAATCTTGCCATTGCCAATCTAGGCACAACTATTTGAGGGAGCTATTTGCCCTGAAAGGAGTCCGACACCACCAAGAGTTCCTACTCCCCAGACTTCTTTGTATCCCAAAAGAACACAAAGGATATTCACATGAGCACAATCTAAAGCTGCTCAACAAACATAATCTTGTTCGTCCACCAATTCCACCAAATTTCAGATTGAATAGGTATAACATTTACGGAACTCTCATACTAGGAGATTCCAAGTGCTCTAGTAGTTGGATGAGGAAGATTGTATTTTGCTTGATCTGCTGATAGGAAGTCGTCATTGTAGCTGTGTAATTTTACTAGCTTTTGATGAGCAAACCTGATGACTTGGTGAGCAATGGCTATGCTTAACAGAAGAACATTGAACTGATACCTCTGCCCGTTGTCTGCAAATTGTAGGTAGTGATGGTAACTTGGATGAATAGGAACGTGAAGATAGGCGTCCTCTATGCTTATCATCCAATCTCCTCATCTGAGGGTGTTTCTAAATTTCTTGACTGACTCCATTTAGAATTTGGATGTCAAACGAGATAATCCTTGTTGTGTACTTTCAAATTGATTATCATGTATATTTCCAATGTATTTTCCATCGGAACCAGGAAGAACAGTGAGTAGAATATGGGGATAATATCTGCTTCTCATGTACTGATGACTCGCTCAATACAAGCTTTTATGGCCAAGTTGGAAGGAATTGGCATCCATTAGGATGTATCACAAGACTTGGCCATACTAGGAAATGGTGTTTGTAGTCTCTTCTTACAACTTCATACATCCATGCGTTATCTGTGGTTGCTTTCCAATTTTCTGTGAACTCCAACAGATGAACTGTATCCGAGGCTGGTGTTGTGTTGAATATCAGTAGTCTTGAATGGATGTCGGTGAGGAAGGAGAGGTCAACGGGATTTGGAGAGATGTGCTGAAATTTTGATGAGTGACATGCTACGGGGACCGCCTCTGGGAATTCATTCTTGAGGACTGTCCTTGGTAGACTCATGACATGATACACTTAAAAAATTTCTCATCACCTGCCCTGGTAGTTCAGTGGGTTACAAAACGATATGTGAGGATGCACATCATGGAATTTTCATGTTTAAAAAAATTATGACTTTCAACCAATGATCAAAGACAAGCGTGTTCACATCAAGATTCAAGTTAATTGTTTTACCGAGGTATTACCATTTAAATGTATTCATCAGGTCCTGGGCATTGCACAGGAAGGCCCCGGGCATTGTTGATATTGCCTACCTTGTTAGTTTACCAACATTTAGAAGAACCTCCTGTTACTTTTGTGTGACATCATCAGAGGTTTATAAAAAGGGTTGCCTCCTTGATGTCTCTTTGTTTGCTGTTGAAGACCTGTGGGGCTGTAATAGACTGCGACAACATACTTCTCTTCAGGGGCTCTGGAAGATTGTGACATACCTGCTGTAGAAGATGACTCTGTTGCATGAGCAAGAGCTGTGCCAACATCCATATTATATTATCTGAGCTGACTGGATGTCCTGCATCTTCAGGATATGGTCCAGAGATCTGCCTATGAATCCCACCTGGTGCAGGTCATGTTGACTTGAGTGTCTAAGGGTCGGCTTGTTAGTCAGAGGGACCCAGTTGATAGATATTAGGGTGTTGCTCTCCTGGACTAAGACAGTGTTGTTTTAAAAACATTGATGCAGTGATTATACCCATACTTTGTTATTATCTGAGATCTGGGATATGGCCGACTGTGAATTACCGGGTAATCTAAAATGTGCAAACTTATTTTTGTAAAAGGGTTATGAAATCAAGTAAATATGCCAATGTTGTTTGGGCATTTGGCAAATGTGGAAGAGTGCCGCTGCAATATAAGTATGTGTCCCAAGTGTCAGATACTGGTGTAAATTGCTCCAGTTAGTTACTTGTTGATTACCCCATCAATATTGTTTATTCATGTCCCTGGATAACTTTAGAAGGAGGACTTGGGCTACATTTAGTAGTAATATTTTATTTCAGTATGGATATGGTGTGGTATGGCTCTGTCATGATATTGGAGATGTAAATGTTGTCTATATTCAAGCAAAGATTGTATGATTGTCTTTGTCAAGATAGGCATTTGCTGTGGAACTTTCTTCCAAATGTAAATTATATGGACAGTTTAAATCTGTGCAGAATGTTGAAAGACATTTTTCTTCAGATCTTCCATCATATTATAGACATGTTTTGTCTTGGTTCAGATGTAATAGTCTTAGATTGGTTGTGGCAACGGGAAGGCAGTCATACCACCTACACTGATAGGATTTGCATCTAGTGTGATCTTGACATTGTGACTACATGTCACATGTAGAGGATGAATTCCATGTATTAATGGTATTTTGTCGGTATGAGGCTGTATGACAAGAACATTTTCCATCTTGTGTAATACAAGATCATGCATTAGAAACTTTCATTCAATGAATGTCCTCTGCTGATGTTGAGATACTCAAGTTCGTTGTCGTAAACAATGTTGCAATGTTAGTGTTTTTTTCCAAGAATCTTTTCCACTAATTCGTCTGTAACTTACAACAGATTTTTGGACCAAAATAGTTGTTTCTTCATGAGTCAGGTGAGCTACAGAGCCTTGTGGCTCTACGTTTCAGTATAATGAGATCATTTTTTAACTTATCCTGCATTACTCCTTCATGCATTTACTGCTGTTTTCTGACAGAAAGATGAACTGTGTGAGATCCATCTGCTTCAGAAAAGTTGTTCCAACCTGTAGGTGGCAGCACACTCGCACAGTCGTCACGTAACCCGGAAGCTATGATGTCACCTAAGAGCACATTACTGCATTGTCACCTCCATGGACGGTCGTACTGATGTATTCCTTTTAGAAATAAAGCCTATTGTGTTTGCTTGCTACTCTGCTTGGTTTCTACATTCAACATTAGCTAATATATTATCTACTGTTTCTGGTTTGTGCCCTTTATGGTCATTTCCATACATATTTATGACATTTTATCTCTTGTCTGGGGCACTAGTAGCGGTAATTTACCGGCGTATTGGTGTTCCATCTGCTGTTTTTGAATTCGCCACATGGCCACACTTTCGTGTCTTGCATTCTGAATTATTTTGTCTGTCTTGGGTAATCCATTATTCTGTTTTACCTCATGTTTTGTGTGTTGTAAAAGCATTGATTTTTCACTAACCTTTGCATAAATGTCCAAGCTGAGCTTATGCCTTAACGTGGCATCCGTCGTCTGTCCGTCCATAATTGCTTGGATGCATTCTCAGTTGGTGAGGATTCAAAATTGTACAAATGGAGGAGCTGAACCCCCACCCCCTGATGGGAGAAATTGAATCCTAACTTGACCTGTCAATATCCGGGGTAGAATAGGTCTTCAGCAACCCATGCTTGCCCTAAAAGCTATTATGCTTGTCTTAAGAGGCGACTTACGGGATCGGGTGGTAAGACACACTGACTTGGTTGATGCATGTCATCGATTCCAATTGCGTGGATCGATGCTCATGATGTCCATCACTTGATTGTCTGGTCCAGACTTGATTACTTACAGACCGCCGTCATGTTGCTTGAATATTGCTGAGTGCAGTGTTAACAACAAACAAACAAGCATAACTTGGAATCTATATATACATATACTTGACATCATAACACAAATACATTCATGTTACCAAAATCTGCCTTGGAATCTGTTGCCACTCCAGGGGTCCGGTTCGAAAGGGACTATGGGTCATAATTGTTTAGATCATCAAAATCCCAATCCTATATACCCACCCTCATCTTCATTAGACAATACATCCATGCTACCAGGACAGGCGTTTCTGTTCCATCAGTCCATCACTCTCAAAGGAGTTAGAACCTTGACCATAATATGCAAACCGATATTATCTCCACCCTATAATAAACAGATAAATTGTATACATTTGTTTGTTATGAAGAGAATAATACATTTATGCCAATAGGAATCGCCCTGGAGTCTAACCTTGCCTCTGGAAACTTAGATCCTGGATCATAACATGGAAACGGTTCAGATCTTTGTTACATTTGTATCTAGAGAAGTACATGTTCATGCTGTCAGATTTGCCATCCACCCCTTTTAAATGCTGACAGTCAAAATTAGGAAATATTTGCAGTATTATATACCAATGCAAATGTATATTTTGTCATGATTGCTTAGATATCCAGGGGACCAATACAGTCCCAATGGGCCTCTTGTTTTAGTCACATTATGCCTCCCGTTTCCCTTTATATGCTTGCCACATCCATATGACTTAAACTACTTTAATTTAACTTAAATGTATGCCTCGTTGTACCCTCTGCCTGATTGTATGACACCTTGTACTCCATCAGCTCAATGCCACTATTGCAGTCCCCCCTTAGGGTGACGACCCTTACCAGGCTTGCATCCATGCAGTCTCTGCCTTCAATGAAGACAGCACCGGCACCTGCGCTAGTTTACCCCAACTTGGCATCGGCGGCACCTCCAGCATTCCCAGCACTTCAGGATGCAGCGTCTGCGGCACTTGTGGCTCCTCCAGCTCCAGCCGCAGTGGCACTGCAGTTCCTCCTGCAATGTTGGCGGCACTGATGGCCTCGACGCTCCATTACGTCTCCTCTTTTGTTGGTTCTGGTGGCTTTGCCTATTGCCTCCCCGATGCCCCTCCATCTACTCATAAACCTCAATCATCTCTTGCCTCGTCATCTCTGCCTCTATCACCGCATTCTGCCAAGTCTTCCTGGTCCTGTCACTGCTCTCGCAGTTGTTCGCCTGTCTGTTGTTGAGATCGTACCTACCGCTCCAACTCCTCGGAGGGATCTTTTCCCCCCAATTATGATCCCACTTTTCCGGAGATTGACACCCACCTAGGTATGTCCCAGGTTCCTGATTGGATAGCCAACCGCATATCCTCTGTCGCTCCCTCTCCGAGTTCCGATGTCGATAAGAAGTCCACAGTTTGGTCTCACCAGACCTCGCTACCACCAGACCCCATGTTGACGGACCTCGTGGCGGCTTTAGACAAGGACTTTGCTAAGCTGTCTCTCATTCCCCCCTCGTTTCTGTCGGGACGTTTTACCAGTCCACTCCTTCAATGTAGTAGATGGAGCGCACCTTTTGAAGAGGACCTACATCGAATGACCGGGTCGTCCAAACCTGACACGTCTTGCCTTTGTCGAGTCGGAACTCTTTCGATTGCTAAATCCTCTCTCGACACTCGCTTCCTCCTCCAGAGCTATCCAACAGGATTTGTCGGAATCCAAATCGGACTGTCATGGTCTTTCAGCTCCCACAGGTCTAGGGTACTTGGCTATTACAGAATGGAATTCCGAATTCCGAATTCCAGAGATCCCTCAGGCGTCAACCATGGCCTGGGCCCTCCCTGTTTAACTGAGCTATCACTGCTACACATGCTCGGATTTCCAGCTTTTCGAGGGACGAGACTGTGCTCAAGGCCCTGGAGCACGTCACGCAGCACTCAGCTGCCAAGTCGTCCAAGGGAAACTATAAACCTCGCCATTCCTCACTGAAGGACACCCCCAAGACCTTCTACCACTCAGTTGTTCCATTCACCGACACACCCATAAGAGGGAGACTGAGCCGATTTTGTTTGTTACTACTGTCTCCCGTTGGCACTACATTCACTTATGACATCTACCCTGACGACAGATGCATATTCCCCACATCAATATCAGCTCCTGTGCAACAGTTTCAACACCCTGCTTCGCAAGGAGGCCATAGAGGTTGATCACAACCCGGACCAGTCTCCGGGATTCTACTCCCCCGTGTTTCTTGTCCCCAAGAAGGGCTCCAACAAACTGCGCATGAGCCACAACCTCTCCATCTCCATCGGCGCTACCTGGAATGCGCTCCCTACTTCCGGATGACGACGTTGAGGCTGCTCAGGACAAGAATCAATGCAGGCGATTCCCTGATCGGCCACTTGGAACCTGACACTGATTTTGGTCAGGCCCTGGTGGCCGAGGAGAAGTTGGTTTATTGACATCAGAGACCTCGCCAGAGACAACCCCTTACAACTTCTGGTGTGGCCCAACCTCCTGTTATGCCCACACAACCGGTTGCCACACCTGAACCCCGCATGGTTTCGTCCGCACGCCTGGCACGCCTGGCACATTTGCACAAGCCCTAGAAGCCATGGGCTATTCGGGTAGAGCAGCCATGGCTATTGCTTTAGCCCACCATCCGTCTACACAGGGACTGTATGATGACAAGTGGTGCTCCTTCCAGGCCTTCTGCTCAGACATGGATCCGATTACTGTGTCGCTGCAATTCCTGGCTGAGTTTTTCCTCTACTTGCGCAGCTCCTGTGGGTTGAAAGGCTCTACCATCTCTACGTACCTGGTCTCCATTTACTCTGTGCTTGCCATCCTGGATGATCGGAGAATGACAAAAATTCCCGAACTATGTGGGATCTTAATGTGGTCTTGTAGGCTCTTCGGACGGCTCCCTTTGAACCACTCCACTCACCTTGCTTCTATGATCATACGAAGAAGACAGTGTTTCTACTGGCTTTGGCTACTACTGCACAGGTCAGTAATGTGCTCTTATGTGACGTCATTGCTTCCAGGTTAAATGCCGACTGTGCGAAGGTGCTGCCACCAACAGGTTGGAACAACTTTTCTTTACCAGGTGGATCTCACACAGTTCATCTTTCTGTTAAAACTCAGCAGATAATGCATTGAGGAGTAATGCAGGATATGTATACAAATTTATACAGATTTTACTAATAAGGTATTATACTTTTGTTGTGATTTATGAAGGATGTCCATGACTTTTGTTATCCCAATCCAGGAGCTATGTTGTTGGACCGATGTGTAAATGTTTTTTATTAAGTAGCAACATATGTTGACTTTTGGGTTGAGGTCATGTGTTTTCAACCAGTAAAGTTATTAGACCTGAAATGTATTTAGAATTTTCATAAGGCTGACCTAAGTACATGGACAAGTAGGCGTGTGTTACTCTGATGGAAAGGAAATCATTGTGGAAATTCATGTTTTCATGTTGTTTTACCCAGTGTCATTGTATCCCTGACTTATGATAAGAATGTTTCCTTCAGGAAGTCTATTGTCGACACATCGGTGTGGAATTTATGTTCATTAACAACCTGGAACAGACAGACTGGATTCGCAAGAAGTTTGAAACTCCTCGTATAATGCAGTTCAGCAATGAAGAGAAGAGGCTTGTCCTGGCCAGACTCATCAGATCTATACGGTATTAACTCTAACACAACTCAACACTTCACTTACATAGTCTCAAAATAGACACAGATGCATTTCTGTCTTACCAATTTACACTTTTGTATCATCAGCATGCATACATCTGCCACAGGATAGACACAAGATGCACTACCAGATCGTAGCCCCTGTCATTATTTAGATGTATGAATCTATTGATTGATTGAAAGGTTACACGAGATGATTTTCATCAATTTGCAAATTGTTATTTTTTGGCCAGGGACTTCTTTTAGCACTTGCAGGTTACTTATGTTGTATGTGTCTTTCTGGTGTATGTATGTGGTGTTTATTTGTAGATTTGAGGAATTTCTTGCTCGTAAATGGTCATCAGAGAAGCGTTTTGGACTCGAGGGATGTGAGGTGCTTATATCTTCTATGAAGACACTGATAGACTCAAGCAGTGCCCTGGGTGTGGACAGTTTTATCATTGGCATGCCTCACAGGTCAGTCTCACCTTCAGATAGATCTGTAATTATAAGTAATGCTGTTTGGTCAACAGGAGTGGAGTAATATCTGAAAATGAGACGGTACATTAATCCTTAGACTGTGTGTTACAACCAGAAATAGTGCATACCCAGATTCGTTAGGGGCATGTCAATTACCATTGAATTAGAAGTTGGAACAATTGATGTGAACTCTGTAAGATTAACTGAATATACAGCAACATTAATCCAGAAAAAATAACTTATTTTGATACACTTACATTTCTGTCCCCCCATTTTAAAAAACGTCTGTCCGTCTGTCTGTCCTCCATCCGTTTTCCATTTTGGAGCAAAGTCCTGAACCGTTGAATATTTCTTGTTGAAACTTGCTTTACAGGCGGTGAAGTGGTGCCTTTTGATAATTTGGGTGATTGAAAAATATTGAACAGCGTGATGTTTTTCTTCACTGAACTGAAGGTATCCAATGGCCATGAACCAAAAGTGGGGTATAAGTAACCAAAATCCATTTCTGAATTTGTCAAGTGCGGGGGGGAAGGGGGAATGTCATCTCCTGATGACACTTGTTAGATGACACTAGTCGTTAAAGTGTTCGCTCGTCACGCCGAAGACCCACGTTCGATTCCGGGTACAATGTGTGAAGAATCTGTACAATGTGTGAAGCCCATTTCTGGTGTCCCCCGCCGTGATATTGCTGGAATATTGCTAAAAGTGGCGTAAAACCATACTCACTCACTCCCAATCACTTACGTTCATAGGAGGGTGTTCAACACCAGAACCTGCAGGATGCATACCTGCACGTCCCTGTTCATCCGAAACACCTGCCATTCCTCAGATTTCTTTCAAGGGGAGGCATGGTGAGTCCTTCCATTTGTAATTTCTTGGGCCCTGTGGTTGTTCAGGTAAATAATCAAACCAGTAGTAGACTTAATACATGACAGGGATGTTAACCTTCGTAAACGATCAAGATCCTCAGGTTCTAGTTCCACACATCACCCTTTCCAGGTGCCTGTTCCAGGTGGGATAGTTAGTCACCCTAGAAAAATCAGACTTTGTTCCGTCTCAATCACTCCAACTCATAGGAGGTCTGTTCGATACCAGTAGAATTCTGCTAATGGTTCTGATGGACTGGTGGTTGAGGATACAACCGTCAGCTCTGCAGGCTGTCATTGGAAGACAGTCTTTAACTGGCTGTTGACATCAGCCCTAGATGCAAAATGTAGAGTCATCTTCAACTTTCGCTATTTATGTCTCCCCCAGAATGGAGGGAGACATATTGTTTTTGGCACGGTTCCCGTCGGCGTCGGCGTTGGCGTTCCCACCGTTTCCGGACCATAACTCAGAAACCGTTTAATATTTTTTTGCGAAACTTTGTATACACGTTAACCCAGCACTGAAGTGGTGCCTTTTGCTATTTAGAGATTTTTGACATTTTTATTTTTTCTCGTTTCCATGGAGATAAGTTGAACATAGACTCTGAATGGGGGTAAGCTTGGTTTCCGGACCATAACTCGGAAACCGTTTAATATTTTTTCGCGAAACTTTGTATACACATTAACCTAGCACTGAAGTGGTGCCTTTTGCTATTTAGAGATGTTTGACATTTTTATTTTTTCTCGTTTCCATGGAGATAAGTTGAACATAGGCTCTGAATGGGGGTAAACTTGGTTTCCGGACCATAACTCAGAAACCATTTAATATTTTTTCGCGAAACTTTGTATACACATTAACCCAGCACTGAAGTGGTGCCTTTTGCTATTTAGAGATTTTGACATTTTTATTTTTTCTCGTTTCCATGGAGATAAGTTGAACATAGGCTCTGAATGGGGGTAAGCTTTGTTTCCTGACCATAACTCAGAAACTGTTTAATATTTTTTCGCGAAACTTTGTATACACATTAACCCAACACTGAAGTGGTGCCTTTTGCTATATAGAGATTTTTGACATTTTTATTTTTTCTCCTTTCCATGGAGATAACTTGAACATAGACTCTGAATGGGGGTAAGCTTTGTTTCCTGACCATAACTCAGAAACCGTTTAATATGTTTTCGCGAAACTTTGTATACACATTAACCCAGCACTGAAGTGGTGCCTTTTGCTATTACAGTTTCCATGACATCACATATGTCATTGTGTAGAAGACCTGCAGAGTCAGATACACGGGCAATTACATCACAGAGACTTTCCTTTGTGCCATATAACATTGCTACATCATTTCTGATATGTTGGGGATATTAATATATTTGTGTCCAAACTCTATTAGTACTTTAAGTGGATTTTCTACAAATACTTCAGTAACAAGAAAACTGTGCTACTTAGATAACTACACTGTCAGGTGGGTAAATGATTGAGGGATTAGTGGTGTTGATTAGATGCTGAAGTGGTGCCCATTAGTTGTTTGAAATTTCTAGGAGTTCTATTTTTGTCTCTGTTATTTAGTAATGGAGGGTGGGAATGAAGAGATGGGGTTTAACGTGAAGTAAACGAATGAATTGGGGTTAGGAGAGTGGGGGAAGACATATGTTTTTACGAGTAAAAACACTTTCTAGTTTCAACTGCTAACAGTGGTGGGTAATCTGTTGAACATTTGTGATGAAGTCACCATGTGAGATTTTGTACCAACACAGCACCTCTTTGTGCACTCATCCCTCAGAGGTTGGGGTGCAAACATGGACCACCTAGCAGTTCTGTGGGCAGGTGATCAGGCACAACTGCGCATCAACAGACCCAAGTTCTTAGCCGTGATTTTGGCAATAAAGCAGTGGAAACAACACCTGAAAAGTGTCAAGGGTCTTGATCTCCAAGGACTATTCCATGGTAGCTCTTTATTTAAAAAAGATGATGTATTCCAGCCACTTATTGGACTGAACCTTTCAGCTCTGCAAGCTTATAGACATTGTGTATCTGGAAATTTTAAACGTCAATGTCTCTATTATCCTTTGAAACAGATTCCATTGGGCGAATTAAAGAGCCAAAATAGTGGTGGAGATAATATGAATAGATCACTGAAAATCAGTGATGACACCGGATGTTAGGGAAAAGGGTAAGCATATCCTGCCCTTCCTGTAGCACACGCCACTGTCACAATTTGCACAAAAAAGTAAGTGTTTGTTGCCTGATGCTGCATAAAGTCTGGGCTCATGACACCCCAGGCATCACAAACGTTGCTACTAAAAACCATCAACATATCAACATTGTCTTCCATCCTGGGGAATGAGGTTGTTGCTGATGTGTTGTCATTATATCCTCTGCGTGCTCTATGACGCTATTCGAAAGTGAAAAGGCTTTCAGGAAGCGGATGAAAAGCTTCTTTCTTCGTTTGTCGGCTAAAAAGAGCTGAGGTTACAACGAATACCATGGCACTGCAAACTAATTGTTCAGTGGGGGATGTCACCTTTGTCGTTTGTGGACTATGCATTTGTCAAATTCAGTGATCAGTCAATCAATGGTACATTATCATGATAATAATGTCTAAAATTGGATTTGATTAATGTACAAAACCTTACAACACTGATTCTTTAGAGGAGGTATTGAAATGTCATGTGGGCATTAGTGAGAATGTCTTGATTGATATTTTTTTTATCATTGTCGTGTTTGTGGATGTTGAAATGTTGCTCTTGCATCACCTTTGACCATCATTTAGTCTAGAATATAGTACTAAGGGTCAAGAGCACTGCAATGACTAACTTGCCAAAACATATATGCTTCAGCACCAGCAAATTTCATCAGTACATACATGCTGGATCACATAACGGAATCAGTGTTGAATATATAGAGGTTATCACGCGAGTTTGTTTTGGGATGGTAAATATCCTGCATTAGGAATAAACATTGTATTTAGCGAGCCTTGGCGAGCTAAATACATAGTGTTTGTTCCTAATACAGGATATTTACCATCACCAAACACACAAGCATGATAAACCTCTTTATCATATAATGTCATTCTTTAATTCTGTGCTTCAAAATCGCTTTCCCTCTCTCACAAACATTACCGAAAAATTGCAACTTTTCCTGGAATGCGCGCATTAATATTTATTACGTCACAGGGTAAGTGATGTGTCAGTCAGACAGTGACAGTAGCCAATATAGTTCCAATTTAATCAGTTTCTTATACAGTGGCGAAGCACCATATATGCAAAACAACAATTGTTTTTAATTGCCTTTCGCGGCAATCCATCGGTCTGTCCGCTAGAGTAACTGCCCTTTGTCAAAGGGAAGCTACTCTTACCCTAGTCTATGAGACGTCACGGCCACGGTCAGACGTTGTTGACAGTTGGCCTGTCCTGTCATTACGTTAAGAAGTGTAGTCAGATGTACACACAGCGACAAAACGAAACAAGGTAACAATTCAAACATATTTCGGCCAAATCCAACTATTTTAATTTGTGGAGAAGGTTTGGAACCGCGGAGATGTACAAGCACAGATATGGCTACTGATCCCGCTTGGCTTGGCCGCGTGCCCTCGCAAAATTGTTTCGAAATTTATATCTCCAAAGTTGCCAAAACTTATAAAAAATGCCTTAGCTACGTCACAGTTAGACACTGATATTCAGTATATTAGACTGTTCTTTTGATAATGATAGCAATTATCCCTGTAGTTTATCCAGATTCCAGATGGTTAATTCTGTCTCGATCGCCGAATGACGAGGGCGACGCCATGTTTGTTTATAAACACTGAAAGTAGTCCCTACTTGACCTTTGATATTTGCATCTCTATCCACATATGACCCCAACGGATATCGTTTTTATCCGTTGGCTTTATCCTGCCGAGAAACCTACCCATTATATGATAAAAACAAATATTGTTCTATTGGTTTCTGAAAATCTACACAGGGTCACTGAAGTATTGTCATTCTATTAAGGTGAGCATCTATCACTAGGCATGTTGATCACTGATATTTCCTGACACATGTAGCTTTTCCTTGTAGAGGTCGCCTGAATGTACTGGCCAATGTGTGTCGCAAACCATTGGAGAAGATCATTTGTCAGTTTGACTCGAAGTTGGAAGCATCAGATGAAGGCTCTGGGGATGTCAAGTACCACCTGGGAATGTCACATGAACGTTTAAACCGTGTGACAAATAAAAACATCAAGATAGCAGTGGTAGCCAATCCTTCTCATCTGGAAGCTGTAGATCCTGTAGTGCAGGGCAAAACTCGAGCTGAGCAGTTCTACAGAGGGGACACAGATGGCAAAAAGGTATCTGAATCTTCCAACATGGGCTTGCTATGGAACAACAGTTTCCAAATAACTGTTGTCATTTTGTCATAAGCAGGTTCTGAGCTTTGTTTCTTATTTTTGTCCATTGTACAATTATATTGTACAATTAATATGATACTGTAATTTACTGAACCCATCAAAGACAAGTTTGGCTTAAACATTAACATGCCATAAAATATTAATGGACTTCAAGCAAATTCAAGTTTTACGTCTCTTGTTTGAAAGACAGGTCAGGTTCAATAAACTTCTAAATTGGTCAAAATTAAGTAAGTCAAAGAGCACATGACCTGTATAAAATTGGTGAGGTATTTGTTTCCAGATGACAGCTTCAACAATCATTCATGAAATATTACTAAACTTAATAGTTTTACCTCACCTGACACTAAACAGTGCCAGGACTACAGCCCGTGCCTCTGCATCCACCAGTTATCCCCTTTGGCCCATACTCCCTCATATTCTTCTCTGTCTGCCCTGTGGACAGATGTGTATTGGACTGAGTTCTACTTACCTTGTATCGTCATCAAGTTTTGTCTTCAGGTAGTGTAACCTCCATATATCATTGCCCTGCTTGATATAACCGCTTGTTTTCGGTTTATACCTTGATAAGTCATTTTTGTTCAAAGAGCATCACGCATCTCATATTTACGAGGTTGCAGGTAAATGTGTTTTGCTTCATATGTAATTCTGTTCATTACACTTATGAGCAATTTACATTTTTTTTGCAGAATGTATTCTATATGTTGTGCTGATAAAGGCCCATGTCGGTGAAAGACCCCCCATCACCTTTGCCCCTACTGCAAGCCTGCGTGTTCATTTGACAATCATTCCCGCTCCTTATCGGAGACTTCATCCTGGCGTTCTCCTGGCTCCCGTTGCCGTTCTCATACTACTGATGACATCCCTCACCAGTTGTCACCCGACCGTTGTCAGATATTACCGGCCTGTTGCCAGCAGTGGTGGCCTACATTCAGAAGCAAGGCGGAACCAAGTCCAGTTTGCTGATGGTGGAAACTACTCAGCTATTTGCCTTGGCCGACTCATTCAGCTGCCAGATGGAAGCGAGACATATTCCAGGCAAACTTAACATACTCCCGGACAGCTTATCCTGGAGAGGGAGAATCGTACCGACAGAGTGGACTCTTCACACAGACGTTTTTACCTTGATAACCTCCGTTTGGGACACCCCGCATCTGGACATCCTCGTGACCTATCTTCCGGTAACCAATATCCAAGAGCTCTTCAGATAGATGAACTATCCATGGATTGGACAGGACTATTTGCCCACGCGTTCCCTTCATGGTTTCACCTTGAGCCTATTTTACTCCAATCTTCCCATCGTCCATCTCACCGCCTGGAAAGTATCTCGCAGAGAATGCAAGCCTCCAGATTCTCTCAAGCTGCCTCTACTGCTGTCGCAAGATCATGGAGATCGTCGTCCACCCAACTTTATGACAACAGATGGGACAAATTCGTCCAGTGGAGACACAGATTGGTCTAACGAATGTCACAGTGGACATTCCCATGGTTGCCAACTTCCTTTTGCACCTACGACAGGACAATAACTTTCGACATGGAACTATTGAAGGATACAGATCCGCCCTCCATTCTGTTCTCCAGCTCGATGGATTAATGATTGGAACACATCTGGTGCTTAACAGACTCATGCGAGCATTCAGCCTAGAGGATATTCGCATTCCCCGGATCTTCCCAAAATGGAATTTATCATTTGTCCTGCCTGCTCTACTAACCACTCCATACGAACCTCTTGAAAACGCTACTCTTCTCCCTAAATCTCGAAAAGAAGCATTTTCACTAGCCATGGCTACCGCAGCTAGAGTTTCTGAACTCCTCACCCTTGACTACTCCAGTCTCACTTTTCGGTCCCTACTGGACTTTATAGCCAAGAATCAGTCCACGGCTACTGGTCCTTTGGGTCACAGACATTATACTATTCCCGCCTTTGCACCTACAGTGGATCATCCCGATCTCCTCCTTTGTCTGATACGAGCTCTCAAGTTCTATCTGACTGCCACTGATCCACATCACCAACGTCAAAGACGTCTATTCATCTCGTGCAAGACCCACTCGGATAAAGATATCACTAAAGCAACAAGTTATCGGCAAGCACAAAGATACCCATCCTACTATGGCAACAAGTCTGGCGTCACGGTCATCCGTGTCAATTGAACAAGTCATAGCAGGATGCCAATGGGTGTCACACAATACTGTCACTAGTTTTTACTTACGAGACATCCAGCCAGACTTGACAGGGATTCATTCGTTGGGACCTATTGTTGCGGCCCAAACGATTATATGTCCCTAGTTTTTCCTCCTTTCTATTGAGAAAAAAGGGGATGGGAGCGAAGATCTGACATCAGCAGCTACAGAAGGTGAGTACACCTTCTACCTTGATTAACTTGTATGGTATGTAAGGAATTCAAGGGCTACCTGTATTAGAACAGCTGATAAACAGATCTACCGGAAGTGACGTCACAATCGGAAGGAATATAGACTGGGAGTGAAGTCATAACTGAAGTAACGTCAAAGGTTCTAGAAATGACATCAAACCAGTCAAAAAGAGGAGCTGGTGTCATTTAGAACCGGAAGTTGATAAACTGTAAGTGACTTCAGTCTCATAATCTGAGACAAATAATGAGTCAAAATAGAACTGAAGACATCATTTTATGATTATCAGCAAATAATAAGGTACTTCAGGTGAAGGTATCGCATATTGACTGATATAATCATAATACCCAATTTCAAGTCCTCTAAGAGAGATTCTAGAGTAATTACCTCTTGAAAGGGTTTGAATCCAGTAATATACAAGAACTCATACCACAGTATTGGATTGCTGTCAACTACACAGGGAGTTACTGGAGGCAGATCCCGCCTTAACCCTCTGGTATATTCTGGCTATGATGTAATAGAGGTAGAGGATTCGCAGGAATTATGAAACAATAGTTATCATTGTTAATAATTCTGAGAATACTACCTCTATTACATCAGGAAGTACTCCCACACACCTCCCCAATTCATCTGCCTCCAGTGGTGAGATGTTTTGGAAAGTAGTGACGTTTTTCCCGCCTTTTTGCACAGAAGAGCTGAAGAGCTACATGTGCTATTAGGGGAACAACTAGTTGTGTGTAGTTGACAGTGAAGATGACCTCTGTTGAAAATCTGAAGATTTAGTTATATTGTGTCTGAAGCCAAAATACAGGATTTATGGCTATGATGTAATAGAGGTAGTATTCTTAGAATTATTAACAATGATAGCTATTGTTTGATTTTTTCGTGTTTTGTATTTGATACACTTTAAAATCTTTGGCAATTGGAACCGTGTGTTTTTCATCGGCATGCTCAAGTCTACTTCAACAACAACCTTTAATTTTGTGTAATACATACTTGCGCAGTGTATAAATTGTCATGGTATATAATCTGCTTAAGATCCTCATCCACGTTGCTTGGACTGCAATCAAGTATACACTCCAAATTTCAAATATAATTTTTGTTCACCTTTTCTCTCCATTTATAGACAGGTCACTCACAAACATATTTTACAGTTGCGAGGAAGATGTCTCAGTTGCAGGACGCTACCGGCCTCCAGTCCCTTGTTATTACAACCAAACCCATGCCGTCTGGTGAAGTTTTTCCCACGGTTATAGTGACTGCCGACATTCAATCATGTCCATACACTACGACATCGGACTCAATCGTGAGTATTGCACCTCTTTCAAATTTGGCCTCCATGGCCTCCACAGTGACAGTCCCAGCGACGCCAGTGCATGGGCCTTACGGCACTTCTACCTGGAAGGCGTTGGCGCAAGCCACAATCCAGTCGACACCTACGGGCGTCTCCTCACAAAGGCTTGTGTTGAGCACAGCGTCTGCCTACTCCCTCCTGGGCACTACAACGCTGACTACAGCCTCAGGGCTTCCAGCATATACTGCGATGTCATCAACGTCAGGTCAGCTGCACCTTCTACCTCCCCGGTAGCGCAACATATGTACGTTCAGCCTTTGGCGCCGTACATGGACAACAACTGGATGCAGAACTTATGCAATCCATGTGGCAGTTCATGGCACAAGTGTACCAGGCGCCGGGGCCAACATACCAACCACCAACATCAGCTACAATGCTTACGCATCTGACAACTAAAGCGCTAGCTCCTACACCTGCGTCTAACATTTATCAGATGCCAGATACACGCTCTGCTACAACTGGTTTGCTAGAGTAAGAGCTACGCACCACAGCAGAAGTCACTCACCTATGAGGAGATTCCTCTACAGAATGGAATACTCACCTTTGCCTTACGCAGATGACTGAGTGCGCGAACCACCACATGTCAGCAGCGCCTTCCCCCGGAGCCGGGTTCGATGAGAACCATACCATGGTCACAGCCTACATCTATAACAGCGGATCCTATGCTCAAGGATATGGTTAGGGCGCTACCGTCATTTAAAGTTCCAAAATTTAGGAAGAATGATTTTTCCTATCCATATCTTCGATGTTGCAGATCAGGCTCACGCTTTGGATGAGGACTTGCAGAGCATGACTGGCTTTTCGGGACCAACCACACTCAAAGTCCCAGAGGCCAGATTCGCTTTCATCAAAACTGTTCAAAACTTATTCGCACTAAGGTCCACAACCCGTGAGATGGAGCAGGATTTATTGGAGGTTAACCCGAGCCACATAGACCATACTTTTTTAACTTATCCTGCATTACTCCTTAATGCATTTACTGCTTTTCTCTGACAGAAAGACTAACTGTGTTGGCACTAGACCTACCTTTCATTACAAATTCCAAGAAATGTCGTCAACTGTCCATCATTCAATTTCCAAGAAGCATGTGCCATATATGGAAGTGCTACTACGATTTATCAATGAAACAAGCCTGATTCTCATTATTGTTGACCTGCCTGACATCAAAGTGTATTAATCCCATTAGATTGCCATTCTGTGACAATAGCAAGATATTAGCCAATGAAATATCATAACATAATCACATGATTACATTCTTGTGGAACTTGACCCAGTTAATTTTGTATGCTTTACTTGTCCATGGGCATGCTAGAAAACGTATATAACTTGTCTGACATCTAAACCTTACTTTGCACGGGTATCGGTCAATGGTATTTTTCAACCCCTGAGGTGATGAGTATGTGATATATTCTTCAGATTATGGGTATGTGATGATTATGTGATATATTCTACAGGTGATGAGTGTGTGATATATTCTACAGGTGAGGAGTATGTGATATATTCTACAGGTGAGGAGTGTGTGATATATTCTACAGGTGAGGTGTGTGTGATATATTCTACAGGTCAGGAGTGTGTGATATATTCTACAGGTGAAGAGTATGTGATATATTCTACAGGTGAGGAGTGTGTGATATATTCTACAGGTGGTGAATGTGTGATATGTTCTACAGGTGAGGAGTGTGATATATTCTACAGGTGAGGAGTGTGATATATTCTACAGGTGATGAGTGTGTGATATGTTCTACAGGTGAGGAGTGTGATATATTCTACAGGTGAGGAGTGTGATATATTCTACAGGTGATGAGTGTGTGATATATTCTACAGGTCAGGAGTGTGTGATATATTCTACAGGTGAAGAGTATGTGATATATTCTACAGGTGAGGAGTGTGTGATATATTCTACAGGTAATGAGTGTGTGATATATTCTACAGGTGATGAATGTGTGATATGTTCTACAGGTGAGGAGTGTGTGATATATTCTACAGGTGAGGAGTGTGATATATTCTACAGGTGATGAGTGTGTGATATATTCTACAGGTCAGGAGTGTGTGATATATTCTACAGGTGAAGAGTATGTGATATATTCTACAGGTGAGGAGTGTGTGATATATTCTACAGGTAATGAGTGTGTGATATATTCTACAGGTGATGAATGTGTGATATGTTCTACAGGTGAGGAGTGTGATATATTCTACAGGTGAGGAGTGTGTGATATATTCTACAGGTGAGGAGTATGTGATATATTCTACAGGTTATGAGTATGTGATATATTCTACAGGTGATGAGTGTGTGGTATATTCTACAGGTGATGAATGTGTGATATGTTCTACAGGTGATGAGTGTGATATATTCTACAGGTGATGAATGTGTGATATATTCTACAGGTGAGGAGTATGTGATATATTCTACAGGTGAGGAGTGTGTGATATATTCTACAGGTGAAGAGTATGTGATATATTCTACAGGTGAAGAGTATGTGATATGTTCTACAGGTCAGGAGTGTGTGATATATTCTACAGGTGAGGAGTGTGTGATATATTCTACAGGTGAGGAGTGTGTGATATATTCTACAGGTGAGGTGTGTGTGATATATTCTACAGGTCAGGAGTGTGTGATATATTCTACAGGTGAAGAGTATGTGATATATTCTACAGGTGAGGAGTGTGTGATATATTCTACAGGTGGTGAATGTGTGATATGTTCTACAGGTGAGGAGTGTGATATATTCTACAGGTGAGGAGTGTGATATATTCTACAGGTGATGAGTGTGTGATATGTTCTACAGGTGAGGAGTGTGATATATTCTACAGGTGAGGAGTGTGATATATTCTACAGGTGATGAGTGTGTGATATATTCTACAGGTCAGGAGTGTGTGATATATTCTACAGTTGAAGAGTATGTGATATATTCTACAGGTGAGGAGTGTGTGATATATTCTACAGGTAATGAGTGTGTGATATATTCTACAGGTGATGAATGTGTGATATGTTCTACAGGTGAGGAGTGTGATATATTCTACAGGTGAGGAGTGTGATATATTCTACAGGTGATGAGTGTGTGATATATTCTACAGGTCAGGAGTGTGTGATATATTCTACAGGTGAAGAGTATGTGATATATTCTACAGGTGAGGAGTGTGTGATATATTCTACAGGTGATGAGTGTGTGATATATTCTACAGGTGATGAATGTGTGATATGTTCTACAGGTGAGGAGTGTGATATATTCTACAGGTGAGGAGTGTGTGATATATTCTACAGGTGAGGAGTGTGTGATATATTCTACAGGTTATGAGTATGTGATATATTCTACAGGTGATGAGTGTGTGGTATATTCTACAGGTGATTAATGTGTGATATGTTCTACAGGTGATGAGTGTGATATATTCTACAGGTGAGGAGTGTGTGATATATTCTTCAGGTGAGGAGTGTGATATATTCTACAGGTGAGGAGTATGTGATATATTCTACAGGTGATGAGTATCCTGCTACACGGAGATGCAGCCTATGCAGGACAAGGTGTTGTTTATGAGACCATGCATTTAAGTGACCTGCCTGCCTACACAACACATGGAACCATTCACATTGTTGCCAACAACCAGGTAAAGAAACCATCATGTTTAACCTTTAGCCTGCTGAATTGTTTACATACTTCCCTGTTAGTATGACGAGAGAGAAACGAAATATGACAGCCATGTTTCAGTAAGTGTAAAGGTCACCGGATGTGATGTTACAGACAGGGACTAATGATCTTGCATTATCAAAAGATAACTGGAAATTTGGAAATATTTCATCACACCCAGAATGAATCACTCACATAGCATCAGTAATCACCACTCATATCAAATAATAATGTGACTTTGACGATACATGTAGCATATTAATAATATTATTAAACCCGTTTGACCTGTTTGTAACTGTGTGATATACTCACGATATGTTTTTCACTATGATAACTGTGTCTGCCGCAATACGTCTACAGATATAGTTGGTTGCCATTGACCACCCTCCATGACAGTATTAGATATCATTATTTGATGGAAGTATATCCATAAATAATAAAAAGATAAGATCAATAACATATACAGACACAAATCATATTGATATTGTTCTCGTTTATTGAGTGTTTTGTTTTGGAACATAACAAAGCTAAAATATATCTGTAAATCGAATATGGTGCATTTGTTTGTAACAGTACATGAGATTTGTTTTATTTAATCACCAAAACCTGGGAGGCACTTAAGTTTGTGAGGTAGCTACCAGTATACAGTCAAGTCTCATTAATCCGACACTCGTTTATCCGACAATCGGCTTTATCCGACACAAATGATGGGAACCGATTTAATCAGTGCTATTTAGACCCGTTAATCCGACAGTCTCGCACTCCGACTCCGACATACCTAATTTGCAACGAATTGCTGAAATCACTCATTAATCAGTCTCGTTAATCCGACACAGTGATCACCGTACTCTGTGGTCATCTGCCCGCGAGTACACAGTCCTGTGTTTTGATGCAAGACAAGTTGGCGAGTAGCTGCATATTTCAACGGCTGCAGAGATAAACTTGCTTAACAATAAATAATTACTGCTTTAAATAAACAAAACAGGATTAATCACATGCCTAGATTGCCTCAATCTCATTAAAATCGGATACAAGTTCTCGCTACCGCTGAGGACAACCTTTCATGAACTTTGACCGACCAATGACATTACTAACAGGAAGTCGACATTAGCCACTAAAAAAGCAGCTTTCTTAAGCATTGCGGCACTAGTTTCAAATTAGCGACTTCCATTCCAAACTATGCTTTAAAAAGTATTTTGAATCAGTCATACAATCCGTAACAGTAGTTTTGTGTTTAACTTTAGAGGTTGCATGATTAGAAAACATATTCCGCTAACAATGTAAACACTACAATATGAATATTTCCTTTTTCCTTTTTTTATTACGTGTTTGTATCATTATCTATCGTGTAGTTGTCCAATTTTCGATCACAAACGTTGATACCACCTAATTTCGTTTATCCGACATACTCGTTAATCCGACATAATCATATGCAACCAACAATGTCGGAAGTATTATGTAATTAATATGGCAGGACTTACCAGGTGTACTCTTGGGTGTCTGACAGTGACGCTCATATCCCTTGGGGAACATGAACCATTGTGAGCAATGGTCAAAGTGTTACATTTATCAGATAATCCATCAATGTGTTGAAAAGAAATAAAGATCATCACCAGCCTTTGATCTCCCAACTTTGATCAGATGAAGGGCTTTAGAATATCCAGTTAGTAGGTCCTTAGGACTGTACCATATTTTGCCACATCCCCAATTTGTTTCTCAATCCCTCAATAATGTTCAAATTTATAAAAATAATTGTTTGAAAAATAGCACTGTGTCATTTTTTCATTTATGTATTTTTCATGTGTACAACCAAAGAGCCTCCCAATGTAAATGTATTCCTTGTTAAGTCAAATACAGGAATACAGTATTTGACGACCAGTGTGTGCATAATACACACATACAATGATCTTGATTTTATTTCTGAACGCAAAGACATTATCATGAGCACACAACACAGGAAGTATCATGTCAACAAATCTGTACTGAAGTACACAAGTTAGTTAATTTCGGCAAAATAATATACATGTATTAACTGTTCGGCACATCAACTCACGATGAACTCAACTTGAAACGAACATTAGTTGTTAAAGATACAATGTCTTCGGTCTGCCTAACACTGTATTGAAATTTCTTTTCTTTTGTCCTTGACATTAAGTATTTTTAAAACTAAATCACCCATATATTGGGGAGAAAATGTGTGAACAGCTGATAGCTATTTCCAGCTTATTTTACGTGACAAATACACATGTGATCTAAATCTTTGCGTATAAAACATTGTCCAGCATACAGTACCCAAATACAACCGAATTTGTAAATCATCATGTCTTGTGATGCTTTATCGTAAAAGTCATGTTTTCATTGACCAAATTTGCAAACGACAAGACAAGCACACAAACTCCTATTGCCGCCGTCACCATAAAAAGAGATGTGCCGTAAAGCAATGTAAAGGGAAGTAACTGCATGCTATATTGGATAGCATTGTTTTTAAGTATTGCAGCATTTCACTGCTGTGATCATGTCTTCGAGACGTGGAATATTTAATGATTTTTTAGGGATGGGGTGGGGGAATGGAGATAAAAATGAAAGGTGCAGCGGACTTTGTGATGATGCGGCGGTGCCTGAGAACCAAGACACTTTTATTTTTTAGCCTGAGATATAACAAGAATTTCAATAGTATAACAATGCATGTGAAATTGCTTGTTTACTGCCGCTACCATTATCAGGTCTGATTCATCCACTCATTGATGTGTATTTTTTTTGTAGTTACTGTATTTTCTTGAGTATTGTGAGCACAATTTTTTTAAAAACGACAACAAAAAACACAGCTGTGTAGAGGCTGTGCATTATACACGGCAAAATGAGGTTTTTTCACAGTGAGTGAGTGATTTTGATTTTACGCCGCTTTTAGCAATATTCCAGCAATATCACGGCGGGGGACACCAGAAATGGGCTTCACACATTGTACCCATGTCGAGAATGGAACCCGGGTCTTTGGAATGACGTGAGAACGCTTTAACCACTAGGCTACCCGACCGCTTTTTCACAGTGAAAGGACATCACCGTGAGCTCGTAACACTGGAAATACCATGACAACACATCCATCCTGAAGTACGAAATTTAATCATGTAATTACCCTTTCTAGTTATAAAATGTGTTCATTGTATATCTGGACTTCTGGTTGTAATCTATTTTTCAGTTTTACTATTGTTTACATTTATTTCATCAAAATTGTGGTTGAAGGTATCGGAAGATCACGCCAACTCATTGTTATTTACAGCAACCACAGTCAGATTACCGCTATTGAAACCTTGAAAAGAACTATAATAATACAATACTGGACTCTCTTATTACTGATAAAATAATAGTTTCGAATATAATGTTTATAAATAAGGAACTCAAATGTTTTCTTTCCATCAACTGACAAAAAATTATGATCAAATGAAAAGAAAGATAACATTGTAAAGAAAATATTGATTGCATGCTGCTAAACGTGAAGTGCCACAAGTCAACATTGGCTGTTACGGGTGGTCGTGTGAGGAGAAATTTGACATATACTTTTTTAACTTACCGCTTTTTGAGGTACATAAACTCCTTAATTTTGTTATATTTAGAGAGCTGAGCATTTGTGCATATCAAACATAATTTAAATGATAAAGCCTACTTGGAAAACAGTTATTACAAGTTTTATTGGGGTGTGTTCTTATGCAGTTTGATTGAGTTCGCTTGCAAATGTATGGTTAGCGACACATTGTGCCGAATATGTTCAACAGTAGCACTGAAAGCATTAAAGACAAAAATATAAAGCAAAGAATTGTCTTTTATGCACCTGGTAAGACTTTTTTGATGCTACAGATTGGTTTTACGACTGATCCAAGAGTAGCCCGGTCATCTCCCTACTGTACAGATGTAGCTCGTGTGGTGAATGCTCCTATCTTCCACGTCAATGCTGATGATCCAGAGGCTGTGGTGTATGTGTGCAAGGTAGCTGCTGAATGGAGGCAGACATTTGGGAAAGACTGCGTCATTGACTTAGTGAGTACTTGCCATCTACACATTAATAAGATTTTGAAGTTTCATTTAGTTATTTAATGCTGCAACTTGTATAATGAATGTTGACTTTATTGTATTATAGTTATGATATAGCTGTACATCATTACAGGTTGGCTATAGACGTTTCGGACACAATGAAATAGATGAACCGATGTTCACACAACCATTGATGTACAAGAAGGTGGCCAAGCAGCCAACAGTATTGGCCCAGTATGCACAGACTCTCATCAAGGATGGCATTGTTACACAACAGGAATATGAGGTGTGTAGCATTCCTTCTCAAACTTATTCTTACGTAGGTGAACCATGACCCTTCACAAATAAACACAATAACAACTTGAGTGAAAGGGTTGTTAGAAGATTGATAATTCCTTCGAATACCTTAGCTCTATTAGAGCGGTGATGGGTATTACCGAACAGCTAATACTATATCCCGCCTTATTTGTTCTGTGTTCCATTACATGAAACGATAATTCAATGTGAATCATGTTCACATGCAAAGACGAGTATATGTCGTTCAGCCAATCTGTTGTTGATAGATGTTTAACGTTGTCAACTTTTCCTATATTTTTCCAGGCTATTCCGAACAATTGTGTCGGGCTGTTCAAAACAGTTGGTGAACTTTATGAATTTTGTTGTGGCCAAAGTATCATTGATTCACCTTGACATCTTTAGTTTACTTCATGTTCTGTAAGTTATAAACTCTGACCTCATTCTTGTTACTGAAATTTGCATATTTTTTATGTTTTACCTCTACAACAGTATGCAATATTCCTTCTTGCTTAGATTATATAACATTGTAGATCATTGTGAAAACAATCATCACCGGAACAAACCCTCCAACCACCTTGCTCCCATCATGCTCCTGTACCACTCATCTCACTTTTTCCTTCATCGCCCGTAGTGTACAGGGCTCCAGACAGGGCTTCCAAGTGTGAGCGTTCTTCACTGAAGGCCTCCTCTTGTTTTTCTTCACCTAGTGTTGCTACTTCTAAGACTGAGGAGCAGCCACTCTATGCCTCAAAGGGTCAGATCCTGTGGATCACGGAGGAGCCATCGAGGAGTCTGTCCCACTGCCTTCTGTGAAATGCTCTTTTGATCCCAAGGGTACTACGCCATCCCTGTTCATCATTTGGTTTTCCTGTACTGTTGCAGAAGGCTTTAGATGAGGTAGCCCTTAAGGGTTCACTTCCCAAACCCGCCATCACGTCGTCCTGCTTTAAATTGCATGGGATTTCATTTCTAACTGCGGCGCATCCCCTTGATGCAGACAATGCTAAACCTTTGTGTTCCACGTACTAGTGCCACAAGATAGATGATAGATCCATTATGCTCATTGATTTTGACATTCGCCTGTCACTTCTACCATTGTCACTTATTACTACCTTCGTCCACGCGTTGGTTAAGCAGATTGGCTGGCCGAAAACAGAATTTTTGAGAGTATTGCTCTTAGCTCTGGATGCAATTATTTGTCTCTTTGAGGACTTTGCTGTACTCCTTATGTATGCCATTGGAAGCTTGTTATTCTACTCCTCTGGGGTCATTTCATTCCATAAGTCAGAGGAAGACAAGATCCAAGAAACCTTGTAGTTCTAAGAAGGATAGAGTAAAGGAAAGTCAGGAGAAATCTATAGCATCTTTGAGCCATCCGGGGCTACAAGAGGCACAGAAAGCATGTGGATGTTGGGAGGGCTTCCATATCTACCTCTGCTGTCCTGCTCCATGTGAAAGGAGACAATACATTGAGAGACTGTCTTGATTAGTGATTACCTGGACAGTCAGGCCGGGGGAATGGACACTGGGTTTGCCATGGTCAAGCCACTGGCATCAGCGAACTTGGGATGCCCCTGACCCTGCCACTCAGCAGATGCAGTCAGCTATTACGTCAAATCTATTAAACAAGACATTACCGTGTTGAGAGTTTTCAGGATTGTGTTGAGAATCAAGCTGGCTCATTGGCTCCATATTTACAGGTTATCCCTCCTGATGCATGTGCACCTTTTGAGAGAGCACGATTTAATCAAGTTAGCTCACAGAACAGATCTGTGGAGTCATACCTTCTGCAGGCTTTTCTAAAGGATTATGTTGCTGATACTATTAGACCTCTTGCTCCTCTACCTGACAGTAGTAGGAAGCCTTCTGCTACTGTCTCACGTGCAGATATGTCTCTTGATGAGATTTGTCTACCGCTATTCACGTGGCTTATGTGGTTCACCACCCAAAGCGTCTATTACTGTCAGAAACAAATCACCTGATGATCAAGATACCCATGCTATCATCTCTCCAATGGATTTTGATGACATTAATGAGGATGTATGAGAGAACATTATTCAGTAACAGTCTGTGATTGATGAGGTTTTGTGGGACAAACATGATATATTTCAGGCATCTATCCTTAGTTTGATGGCTAGAGCACAAACACAGCCCACAGGGAGTACAAAAGGGGCTCTTCCATAGAGGAGACATAGTCTGGCTGGACTGGATTTCTTTCGTGCCTTTGATTTGGAAAGATACAGTCTCATGTCAGCTTCCCTAAGATGGCAACAGCAGGTTCCAACAGTGCCATGAGGGCAGAGGTGGACTCAACCCCAGTGGCAGGGGCTGTTGCAAGAACTGACTATGCATACATATGCCAACCTACTATGAACACTATCGACCTCGCTTTACTTACGGACCTTGATTACTGATGATTGATTTTCAACAAACACCCAAGTCCGGGACCAGTGGGAGATTGGAAGCAGGTGACATCAGACTGCTTCTTACTCGAGGTTGTGAAATACGGATACAAGATCCATTTCCATCTATGTCCAGCTCTTGTATCCCAGCCTCTTAGCTATCATTTCCATCTAAGAGGCCCCAAATTGTCGAGCACAAACTTGGCCATTACTGGAGACAGGAGCTATATGCGCATTGGAAGAATCAGACCCAATCTTATGATAGTACTCCCCAGTTTTCCTGGTACTAAAGAAGAGCACATCTTACATAGATAGTTACTCTTGTACCTAGGATTTCTAGTTAAACCTCCTAAGTCGGAACTTAAACCACTCCAAATATTGTATTGATAGGAGTCTCCCACAAGACAGGTTCATCAAAGCGATAAGCATGCTTACACATGCATTAGATCTGCCCAGCAGAACCTGTTATTGGTGCATGTCCTGTTTAAGAATCCTCATTTCCCTACCGAGAAAGGCTACAATTGTGTCTCCTCCAGAAGTGGATGAATACCCCACATATTCACGATCTAGATGAGATCATTCAACCACAAGCCTCCATTCTCTGAAACCTGAATTGGTGGTGCTCCAAATTCTGCTCATGTTTCCCCTTCAAGTTCATCACCTGTACACAGATGCCTCAAACATAGGCTGGAGAGCTCATATGGAAGATCAAACTATCCATGGAGAAGTCCCAGGAGGATCTCGCCCTTCATATAAATTTAGGAAATGAAGGCTATTTAATTTGCCCTCAAGGCATGGAGTCCACGGCTATTTAAGTCCTAAGTACAAGTGGCCACACACATTACCTCTGTGGTAGCATACATCCAGAGGCAAAGAGGGGAGAAATCAAAGAGTTTACTGAATGAGGTTTCTCATTTTTTTGACTGAGCAGACTCAATCAGCCGTGAAATTGAACATCAAAACAGATTGTCTCTCCAGGTAGAACAGGATTATCCTCACAGAGGTATTCCAGTGGATTACACATCAATTTTGGGCACCCTGCACATTAAAATGTTCGTGACTTGTCAAAAAAGCTTGTTCCCAGTTTATGTCTGGTACCAGATGGTTTATGTCTAGTCCATGTCCATGAATGGGAACAACATATTTGTCACGCCTTTTGCCTGGATCAGCCTTGGTGTCAGTCTTCCAACATGATTGGATGTCAGCAGGTACTCACCAAGTCATGAAGTCTTTCCACATAGAGGACGTTAAAACACCACGTATCTTCCCCAAATGGAATCTATCCATTGTGATGTCTGCTTTGTAAGAAGCACCTTATGAACTGATGATAATTCATGGATCTTGGTCAACTAGGTTGACCAGGTTTATCTCGGTGGCATTGCAACATAACCTCCGAAGACGATCTTTGGTTATTCTTGTCAGGACAGTCTCAGAACAGTTTTCAGAACGTAATTGTCATGGAAATTATGTCAAACTGAAATATACATGTCTGGACAGTCTCCTAGGAGTAATGTCTATAGGGACTTCTATACATACGTGTCTGGGTGGACGGACAGACGGACGGAATTCCTTGGTATAACTAACCCACTCTTTTAGGTTTGGGGTATAATAATGCAAGGGCAATTCATAAACAACACAAAAGGCATCAACATAAGAGCATAAGGTACAAGTAATTTATTATAACTGAAACAGAAATTTCTAATTAAAGGTTGTACAATGACCCTCCCAAGGCGTGTGGTTTTCTTGCATTGTTGCTATCGCCTTTTAGTGGTCCCTTATTTCTCAACATGGTCACCAGTAACACTATAAATACAGAAATGACTCCAAGTTTAACTTTATATCAAACAATAGTTATCATTGTGTATAATTCTAAGAACACTACCACTAGCCGTAATTTCCGTTTGGGGTAAACACACACTATAAAAATGGTAAGTTTTTTTTTAACAGATGCTCTTTTGTCTGTCAGTTATCTTATGAGCAGTTTCGTGGGAAGCAGTATTAGAACTGATATACTGTGCAAACGCAGGGCGAGAATATGTCACTTCTTACCGCATAATCATCAACCAGATGCCTGATAAATGGGGAGGTGGGAGTGATTATTCCAAATGAAATAGAGGTATTCTTTTAATTATACACAATAACTTTTGTTTGATAATTCCTTTGAATACCCTCCCTCTTTTCTGTTGTCACTGAATTGTCCTTGCATTATTATACCCCAACCTAAAAGAGTTATACCAAGGAATTCTGTCTGTCCGTCTGTCTGTCCTTCCATCCATTCGAGGACATTTATTTGTGTGACCTCTAACTTGAAAATTGCAACATAGATTCTTTTCAAACTTGGTGAACATTTTTTATACCTATAGGAGAGGTGCAGTGCGAAGTTTGATTTCAATATTTGAATTTTCTGAGAGAAAAAGCTTCTATTTTTTTCATTTGTTTTTTTTTTTAATTATTTTCTTCAACATTTGTGTGACCTATAACTTGAAAACTACTGCATGGATACTTTTCAAATTTAGGGAACAGTTTCCATTCTAGTAGAAGAGGTGCAGTGCAAAGTTTGATTTTGATATGTGTATTTTCTGAAAAAAATATGTTTTCATGCTGTGAACTTAGAATATTCGTTTTACTTCAACATGTGTGTCTACTTCATGGGTTCTTTTCCAATTTGAGGTACAGTTTCTATGCCAGTAGGAGAGGTGCAATGCAAAACTTGTTTTCATTACTGGATTTTCTGAAAAAAACAGCTGTTTTTTTATTTCTTGACTTAGAATTGTGCAACCTATGACTTAAAAACTACTACATGGATTCTTTTCCATTTTGGGGTACAGTTTCTAAACCAAAAGGAGAGGTGCAGTGCAAAGTTTGATTACGATAAGTGGATTTTCTGAGAAGAGATTGCTTTTTACATGTTTTGTTTTCACTTTTTGTCTTGGTTTTTTCTTTATTTAGTGTTGATGTTTCTTGTGATTTTACCTTTGAATGTCTTCTAATTGTTTAGTTAATCCATCAGTATCCACACTTTAAAATATCACCTCTTGTGGTACCTCTTGTGTGACTTGTGTGGCATTGTGTAGATTGGCTTTTATGTTCCAACCGTTCAGTGATGTTAGTTGTTGCTGTGTAACAGGAGGAAGTGGCCAAGTATGACAAGATCTGTGAGGAGGCGTATGTGGCTGCTAAAAAGGAGACTGCTGTCAAGAACACAGACTGGCTGGACTCACCCTGGCCTGGCTTCTTCGAAGGCAAGGACCCCATGAAAATCCCATCAACTGGGTGTAGTGAGGATGTCCTGAGACATGTTGGACAATCAGTCAGCACACCTCCAGATAATTTCGTCATCCATGGAGGTATTTTACTGATCATTACTGCTACAACTTCTCCTTTACTTATGGCTGACCCTTTCATTACCTGTGACATAGTAATTCAGAAAAGAAAAGATCCAAGAGTACCATATTGCTGACAAATGAAAGTCCTCTGTTGTTTGTCTTGGGTAGAACTTGTGTAAACTGACAGAATAAGAAGTTTCAAAGTGACATTGTCAATGTTAGGTTATGCCTTTGTCTACTCCATCAATAATCACTGGACTAAAACACTTCCCTATTACGCTCCTGAACAACATTAATATCATTTTCAAATATCAAATCATACAAATCCCCAGCTCCAACCAAAGGAAACTTCATTTTGAAAAGTTCATAGTTTGTGGGTGGATCCTTATAACATGTATAATGTAGTAAAGTTTTTAAAAAATTAAATAATTTTGATGGTAGTTATCCCATTTTGCTTAACACATGCTCCTTATACTTGTAAGACAATAAACATCTCCAGTGTTTATGTCATAATTCTGGCATAGGATTGAGTTTGGAGAACAAGGTCACTATTTATGAAATGAGCATTTACGTCTTCTTATACCTTGATAACTTGACATTTTGTCACCGCCCAGGGTTTGAAATAAGTTTAAATCACACCAATGTTGCCTTCCCATCTTCAAAGTTACCTGCCAGCATTCAGACATTATTAATATTGGAATAATGTGAAAAATAAGAGACAAATCGCATCTTGATTCTGTTGAAATGATGCAAACAATTAATCTACGAGGAATTATAATTAAACTGAATACGTAAGCAGCGGTAGAAACTAACATTTTTAGTCCACTAGTCCTTATAAAATTATGGACAACATGAGGCAAAACACTTAAAAATGGCAAATTTCTACTACATTTGTAGTCCTTATGATACCTTAACTACTGGGCAGTTTGACAAGGACTACAGGACTAGTGCCAGTTTCTAACACTGTGTAAGTAGTCTTAAAATTATCTGCCAGACAATCAGGCAGGTGGAGGAAAATTTCATGCAGCCCCACAGAAAAGTTACCAGCCACGAGCAGGCAGTTATTTCGGACACAAGACTCCGCCACACTTTGGAATTTGAAATCCTGCTGCACTTGGGAAATTGTTTTGACACCATGGACCATTCATGTCAAAGGTCAAGGACACTGTACTATGCATAATAAACCTTAAACCTTGGAGGGATCTAAAAGAGCTCTTTATGCATTAAAAGAGATTTCAAGTGTTCATGATAGTCTGACAGTTCAGTTGCATCGAATGTTCAAGTGCAGGCCACTACAAAAATATGCTTTGGGGGGAGGGGAGGTTGGAACATGTTTGAAATGGTGGCGCATATCGATGACTTTATCTTTTTATTTCAAATGATACTATTGTAAGCTCTTATTTGGTTGCTGCTGTGAGTATGTTGTACTTGCTACATCTCTGCAGTTGTACCTGTTGTGTCTTTCCTCAGGTTTGAAACGGGTTTTGCGTGGCCGGGAAGACATGGTGAAGAACCGGATGGCTGACTGGGCCCTTGGGGAGGCACTGGCATTTGGGTCGCTTCTCAAGGAAGGAGTTCATGTGCGTCTTAGTGGCCAAGATGTAGAGAGAGGAACATTCAGGTGACTCTAATACTATGACAGTTAAGGATGAGGAACTGTCAGAAATAAAATGAAAGTACTTCTCTGTTTGTTAATATCTAGGTGCTAAGATTCCCCTATTTTTATGGGATATATGTGGAACAAAATCTATCCTGTGATGTGAACAGGCATTAAGACATGTCACCATTATCTTAGTAATTTTTAAGTCAAGATCTCTTAATTTGCTACATTTGCATAAACAAGTCCTTCACAGTCTTATGAGTAAACATCCTTTCTTTGTATTAATCACACATTCACTTCCTAATATATATCAAGAACTGCAATACTACAACCCACAAGCTGAAGTGATTAGTATACTTCTTACCATTGCTAACTTCAAGACCCACTTTTTTATTCCAGTCATCGCCATAGTGTATACCATCACCAAAATATTGACAAGAGCATGTATGTGCCTCTCAACCACCTTTACCCAGACCAGGCGACATACACAGTTGTCAACAGCTCCCTGTCTGAGTTTGCTGTACTAGGTAATGTTAATTACACCAAGTACATTGTCAGGCAACCCAGTGTATTGAGATTGGCATTAGAGTTTTTTAATTGTCATTGCTGTTTTTATATTTCCCTCTATGATACCTTTGTCTTGATACTTGATAAGGACCTCCCCATCAGCTTGATATCATGGTTAAATATCTTCCAAAAGGCCAGAAAATATCATGCTTCACTTTTGAGACAATTACGGGAAGAAATTAAGACTAACAATAAGAGACATGAGAAGCTGAGAAAAGGTGGGTATGCAAAAATCTGTCATGGCCATGGCTTCAATCCATGAGTCTTTGAACTCCTTCTGCACCCACCTTATTTTCATGATCTGGGTATGTCATACGAAGGCTGGCTGAAAAGTTCTAAGTCTAACTGTGAAAGACCCGTACCAAGTCGATGGTTTTCATTTATTTCTCCACATAGTCCCCTTCCAGGTTTACACACTTTTGCTGCAAGGCCAGGATGCCGGTCAAGAAGAAATTTTCTTCAGCCACCCTAAAAAAGTCATTCACAGCGGAAATGACATCATCATTACTAGGAAAATTGCTACCGGCTTGTTCCTTTTTCATTTTGGGAAACAGATGGAAGTCTGACAGGGCCAAATGGGGTGAATAAGGGGGATGGTCAATGAGTTCGAAGCCACAATCATGGATCGCTGACATGGCAACCACCGATTTGTGAACAGGAGCATTGTCTTGGTGGAACAGGACTCCTTTTGTGACGTTCCCCATCGCTTAGCTTTGATAGCTTCACGCAACTGTCTCAGTAGGTCAGCATAATATCTTCCATTGATAGTCTGGCCTTTTTCAAGATAGTCAATCAGCAGAATACCCTTGGAATCCCAAAAGACTGAAGCCATCACCTTTCCAGCAGAAGGAACCGACTTGGCTTTTTGAGGGGCTGGTGATTCCGGATGCTTCCATTGTTTAGACTGAATTTTGGTTTCTAGTTGAAAGTGATGAATCCAGGTCTCATCCATGGATATAAATCGGGCCAAAAAATCCTCTGGATCTGCTTCGAAACAGCATAAATTGTCACGGGACGTCAGGAATCTGACACGTTTCTGATCCACTGTCAAGAGCTTTGGCGCCCATCTTGCAGAAACTTTTGTCATTCCCAACTCGTTGGTGATAATGTGCTCAACCCTCTCATGAGAGATGCCCACAACACTGGCAATATGTTGATTGGTCAATCGTCGATCAGCCATCACCATGTCATGCACCTGGGTAATGTTTTCCGGAATGGTTGCTGTTGAAGGCCTTCCTGAACAAGCGGGTCATCATCAAGGCTCTCTCTGCCACGCTTGAATTCCGCAACCCACTTCTTTACAGTGGAAAAGGAAGGGGCATCATCCCCTAAAGTGGAGACCATGTCAGCATGTATCTGTGTTGGAGTTAGCCCTATAAGTTGCAGGTACTTGATGACTGCCCTATAGCCAGTTTTGTCCATTTGTGGGGATTTCAATGGGTAGGTTCACAAGATGGTCTGGTACAAAGACAATACTAACACTACAGTTGCAGTTCTTATGTCTATGATTCATTAAATGATTGTACTTGTTGGTGGCAAAAGATTGTTTCAATCCGATTGAGATATCCCACTTAGGCTTTGAACTTTTCAGGCAGCCCTCGTACTTCCATCTCTTCGTGGGCAGGCGGGTAGCGTAGTGGCTAAAGCGTTTACTCGTCACGCCGAAGCCCCGGGTTCAATTTCTGACATGGGTACAATGTGTGAAGCTCATTTCTGGTGGCTCCCGCTGTGATATTGTTGGTATATTACTAAAAGCTGCGTAAAACCATCCTCACTCACTCCATCTCTTCGATAAAATAAAGAAAACTCTATCCAAAACCCATTTTGACTTGACCCATGACATCATAGCAGCTGTGGAGAACCTTTTGGACAGCCAAGAGAAGGACTTCTCTGAAACTGTGATAAGATCCCTCTAACATTGTTGGCAAAAGTGTATCAATGGGGAAGGGGATTTTGTTGGAAAGAAAATAATTTTATTGTCAAGTATTTCTATGTGATGTCCAGAACTTATCAATCAACCCTTGTATGTTCCAACATCCTTGTTGCCACCACCAGTTTGTTCAAGAAGTTCTCCTCAGATATTCAATTTGGCCACTGACAGCAACCTTTGTTGACATTTACTACCTTTCCCAGTGAGCTACAGTGCTTGTGCACTATTTGTATATGTAATGTCCCCCACTTCAAACTAAACAGCTAGGTGATGCAAACACATCATTATGAATCATGTCATTCCTCGGAAATGTTGCCAACACTTATGTTTGCTGCCCTATATAGGAAATTACATTTTGTGCAGTGCGAAAATCGATAGTCTGCACATCTATTCACCTTTAGCCTGCTGAATTGTTTTGACTTGAGGCACTGTAAAGAGGGTGGACGATTTCAAACAGTCGGTACTTCATGGATCAAGGGCCAATTGAAGAAATATTTTGCACATTAATTCCTGATGAAAAACTACACATATGATAAATATATAAAAATATCCTGACGTTTTCAATCAATACAACTTAAAGACCAAAGCGAACACAAAATTTGTAAATTTTCTTGAACTAACCTGAATTACATTATTGAAGGTGGTTTGTGTTTCATGTTAGGAACCTCTTTAAATTGTTAAATTTGTGGAAATTGATTTCAATAATCATATTTCAAGGTCATACAGTTAGTTGCAGAAATATGAACATTCGGGTTAATCTAACGTGTCATGTTATGAAATTTGCAGGAAACAATTAATGATTTTTAAATATTCACCAATCCTGATTTCAAGTGTTTTAGTTGAATATTTACAATATACAAAAATACAAATCCTGTGTCATGATGTTAGCAGACATACGAAAATCAAACTTATTGCTATTTTAATATCAACAAACTTTACATTGCCTGCATATATATGCCTTGGAGAAAGTTGACGATCTTCTCAATCAAAGATTATTCATTTGTGATTTTCTATTTAATATGATGAGAGAAAAACGAACATAAAGATTGTGAAATCTGATTGCAATAGTTCACGAAGTGCAAAGGTGATGTCACAGACTGGGGTAGTCTGCTGATAATCTTTTGTTACAAAACAATTACAATAAATAGAGGTTATCATGCGAGTGTGTTTGGGGATTGTAAATATCCTGCATTAGGAATAAACATTGTATTTAGCGAGCATTGGCGAGCTAAATACATAGTGTTTGTTCCTAATACAGGATATTTACCATCACCAAACACACAAACGTGATAACCTCTTTATCATATAATGTCATTCTTTAATTCTGTGCTTGAAAGTTGCTTTCCCTCTCTCACAAACATTACCGAAATATTGTGAGTTTTCCTGGAATGCATGCATTAATATTTATCACGTCATAGGGTAAATGATGTGTCAGTCAGACAGTGACAGTAGCCAATATAGTTACAACTGAAATCTCTTTCTTATACAATGGCGAAGCACCATATATGCAAAACAACAATTGTTTTTACTTGCCTTTCGTGGCAATCCATCAATTTATGTCCCCAAAGTTGCCTAAACTTATAAAATGCCTTACCTATGTCACAGTCAGACACTGATTTTCAGTATATTAGACTGTTCTTTTGATAATGATAGCAATTATCCCTTTGGTTTCTCCAGATTCCCGATGATTAATTCTGACTCAATCGCCGAATTGAAAGGGCGGCGCAATGTTTGTTTATAAACACTAAAAGTAGTCCTTACTTGACCTTTGATATTTGCATCTCTATCCGCATATGACCCCAACGGATATTGTTTTTATCCATTGTCTTTATCCTGCCGAGAAACCTACCCATTATATGATAAATATATATATTTCGCCTGTCACATACAGAATAAACACAAATCACTACATAGTATCAGTAATCATCACTAATATGAAATAACAGTATGACCTTCATGATATAATTGATATATTATATAATCCATTTGACCTTGCATGCTCCTGTGACCCGGAAACGGTAGACGATGAATCAACATGCCACATGCAAGTTTCTCGGTATCATTTATTTGAACTTTTATTGATATTTAAGGATTACCATTCAATGTTACGTTGAATAATGTGAAGGGATATGATTAATGACAAACAAAACAATTCTAAGATATAGTTGTAATATGAATATGAATTCTTGTAACAGTGCATGAGATTATTGTCGTTTAATCCCAATTACTTAAACTGGTGAGTTAGCCATATATTTATAAGAGAATGTTATTGTTTGGAAAAGGAATAGGGCAGATACATGTACCATATTATCTTGAGTATAGTGCGCACCAAAGTATAATGCGCACCCCCTCTAGCAGATTCTGTATATTTTTATTTTTTTGAATATTATGCGCAGAAACATATTACACTGTACCCCTTCAGTGAAGTCTGGTAAACGAATGGGTGATAAGAACCTTGGTCAGTACAAATTTGAAATTTGAGATAAAAAATCACCAGACAATTGTACTTTTTGTTCTGCTAGGCATTGTTTTACATCCAGGGATTTAGATTACCTTGTGTAAACTAAGCTGGAAACAGCAATCACGTTTTCTTGGAATCTACCGGTGATCATTTCAGATTTTGCCTATCATCCAATATTTGTCATTATTCGCAGTGTTTGTTGACTTTATCCAACTAAACAAATCACCATTTGGACAACGCCCAAACGTTTCACTTACGCAGGTCAACAGCATGTCAATGTCCGAAGGTTTATCAAATGAAATCATTTGCGAACTCAATAAAAATGAGATTGACGAAGATTTATACATCCGTGTAAATAATTCTAAAAAATTAAATACAGTTCAATTGGCATTGAGCTAGTTTATAATGACTTTAAAACACATCCATACTGCTATCTCTCGCAACATTAAACGAGTAAATCACAGTACATGTATTTACGTATCATGTTGTGTTGCCATTCTCAACAACCAATTTCTCCTGTTACCATACATTTATCATCAATTTTGTTCGTAACTGCGTATGTAATGTAT